CCCCAAAACCCCAAAACCCCAAAACCCCAAAACCCCTGAGTATTAGATTTAATTGAAGTTTTACAAGTATGAGTCGTCCTCCATTCGATATTGTTCGGTCCTGTATGCATTTGGAGATTTATTCTTCCTTTCGCTTTGCGTTCTGAATCTATATTATCTGTCAGTTTCTAGTTTTGAGATAATATTTTCAATTAACACTAAACATTGGATGCATGGAGCTCAGCATAGTTAAATAAGAAGCATATAAAGAATCTTTATATTTCAGAGATTCGGTGACCAGCTTACCTTTTCGGTGTAAAGTCATCAAAGTTATTAGTTCTTTCAACCAGGTGAGGATTAGCCTGATTCGTCTTATTCCTCTCTAGCTTTCTTCTGAACTGGCTACCAGGAATGGATGCCAGGCTTTCTATTGGAGGAATATCTTCTAGCAGTTGGTGGAAGGAATTATCAACCTTGCCAACTTTCTCTCGATATCTAGGATTAGAATATTTCTGCTCCTCTTGCTTTCTCTTGAGCTGATTGCTCACCTTACTATTGGCAACAGATTCAGCATATTCCAGATCTTGATTCACCAGGTAGGCCACCTTGACTTCTAGAATTTTGATTCTGAACAGGACACTCAGACAGTCTCGTTCTTTGTAGAAGCTATTGATTGCATCAGAACTAGTAGATGACACTTTTACTATAAGTTCTTGGCAAGCTCAGAGTCATTGTGGGGTTGGCCTCCTTCCAAGAATTCTTCCAGTTGGATTTGAGAGCGATCTTGTTTAGGAAGAGCAGCTGATTCACTTTGATTAAGGAAACATTTGCGATAGAGGTCATTCCGAATTTTTGATCTTTGATGATTTTCTTCAACTGTTAAAGCTTCATTTTTAGATTCTTCAAATATAGGATCAAATTCTTGTTTCAGAGGGTGATGAAAGGTGGCACTCTTTCCTAATTGCTGAGAATTCTGCTGACAAACAACTTTAAGTTTCTGAAGTTCTTGCTGGATTTCGCCGAATTGGTGCATATGCTTTTTGAATTCTGAGTCAAGAGATATCCGAAAGTAGTAGCTGTAGAGTATTCCAAAGAGAAGAGCAAATGTGACTTCGAAGATTTCAAAGATTCCGCCAACAATGCCGATTAGCTCGACTAGAGTGAATGCTTTCCTATGGTATCTGGGCTAAGCTTGATTATTGTAGAGTATAGCACCTTGTTATTATCTGTATTTTCATAGTGGAAGTATTCAGCTTGCGACCGTTGTTGATCTCAGATTCTGTTGAATTTTATTGGCTCTGGCTCTATAAGAGCTGGAAAGATAGAGTCTTCCAAATACAACTCTTGCCTTTCAATGTAGTAAGTCGACTGATATCTTATATCAGGGTGGAACTTCCATTGATCTATCTTATCTGTGTATAGTTTTATAGGCTCTTTTATATCGCTTAGATCAATGTATTTGCTCTGGACTCTTAGGTCAGCTTTGAAATGGAGCGGAATGAGTCTCCTTTGTGCAGGATCAGTGCAAACATTGTCTGATGAGTTCAATCAATAATAGATCCGGAATATAATTCCGCTGTTTTCTGAAGTTCCTTGATGAATTTTATTAAGATCTATCCCCTTCAGGTTGAATCACCAACTTTTAACAGCATTTGCTTCGCTTTTTTCAAAAATTGTATTTCATTCTTTTGAAATAACTTGAGGAAAAATATCGGTGAGTTTCTTCCCATTAGACTCTAGAACTTCAACAGAAATTGACCGCTTTATATTCTTTGAAGAAAGCGAGGTATCATATTGAACTTCATAAAGAGAAAGTTTAAACATAATACTGTCAAAGTCTGTAAATTTTGTAGAAGTGGTTGAATTTTCATTGAAACTCCTCTCTATTGTTTGGCCGATTCTAAATCCAGGTTAGTGATCACAGAGCAGTCTAAAATCAGCCTATCTTCAAACTTTGTCATAGAAAACTCAAGCCATGTGTAGATAAGCATTCCTTTCCCAATAAGGTTACCAAGAGAGAAGTGGAATAAGAATAATCTGGATTATTAAAACTTAGGTGACCCTTTAGAACTACAAATGGTTATTTTCTACTAATTATTTCCTCTAAAGACCCAGAATATCTTAAAGAACTGAGAGGCTGTGAGAAAGCAACCTTTCTTAACACAATTTAAGCATGTTGAATTTGAAAATTACCTGAGATCTGTTCTCTTCAAACACTGGATGAAGAGGAGCACTCCATACACTAGCAAGAGAGTAATGACTGTAATGGTGAATCACCCTCCAAAGAAGTTAATACACCTATTCTTGTTTCTAATTTTGAAGGTTACTGCCTTCTCATATCGATTGAATCTCCCAATAGAGAAGGAAGTTGCATTTCATATTTTCCCAAACATTATTATATTATTCACCTTGCTGAAAGATCTTGGGGTTTTGGGGTTTTGGGGTTTTGGGG